TTAGGTTAGGACAGCCTTTGTAAAGCTAGTTCTGTCTCATTTTGGCTTTGGTTGGGTCATTTTGTACTTTTACCTAAACTTAAACTTATGGTGTATTGCTTGTTTTTGTTAAACCATTTTAATATCCATCTCTTTAGTTCTCAAATTGAGATATAAGAGTTCTAAGACAAAATGCTGGTGCTTTTTAGATAACAAGGTTTCAAACTGAATCTGTTTTTTCTTGGATGGATGCAAGGCATGACTATATGATGCTTTTTTGGACCTATCTATAAATGAGTTTCCCACATGTTTTGCTGAAGGAAAAGGCTGTTTTTTTAGAGGCTGATATTCAAAATTGGTTGACTTATTTATTGAATACAAGTTTGGTGACCTATAAACATATTGGCAAAATACAAAGGTGTTGAAGCTACAGTGAAAAAGTGCCATCTACAGCACTGGTTAATGCAATTAACTTCTCACAGAGTGCCTGGATAACAGCCATGGGTTTTTTCTGCCGTTTGTAGACTGCTTTTTTAGTACTGCCTACATGAATATACTTAGGATCTGTTTTTTTGCTCTTCGATTCACTGACTGCTTTGTAAAGCCAGATTCAGATTTTATTTATTATTACATTTTTTTTCTCTGTTGGATTGATTAAAAACTACAAGCAATAGAAGTTTATGATATTGCTCAAGCAGTGAAGCATTCATGTATAGAAGTTGAGCCCCTGTTTTCCTTCAGTTTTTAGAGTAATCTGTCCTAAATATGTCTCTCTTCTTGTCTTAGCAAAATTGTACAATTTTAAGCGAAGCAGATATTCATCAGCAGCAAGATGATGACATCATGAGGATATCTACTGTGCTTTCCATTTCGAATGTTGAAGCCGGCTTCTTGCTCCGTTACTATAATTGGTGAGATACTTCTATTAAAACCATTATTTTTTTCCCTTGAAGATTTTCAACATTTTTAATTCTTAAGAAGAAGGTGTATACTTGATAGATCTGTAACTTCTGCTGTGTAAAGACAAAGTCAAATTATGTTGTCCACTTATATTGTATTGTATATGATCTTTGTTTTGTTAGTCTGGTTATTGTTTATAATCTCTCAGCTATGATGCATTTTGGTGTCTGGATGTTGTGAATGAATATGTTTATTTTTGGACTCATAGGAGTGTGAGTAAAGTACATGATGAATGGTTTGCTGATGAGGAGAAGGTACGCAAGGCTGTTGGCTTATTGGAGAAGCCTGTAGTTAAATTTCCAGATGGGAGAGAAGTAAGTCTGTTGATAGTTTTGGCATTTTCTTAAGAATGTTTGTTTATGCACTCTTTTTGCTGCCTTCTATATGTTTCTTTCTGACATACCTTATTGTTTGGCAGATGACTTGTGGAATTTGCTTTGAATCCTATCCTTGTGACAGACTGCGAACTGCTGCTTGTGGTCATCCTTTCTGTGATTCATGCTGGGCAGGTCTGTCAAAACACGATGATATTCATTGTCATCTTTTGAACATAGGGATTTGATGTTTGTTTGGTTCTAGAGTATTTCATCCCTAAAGAGTCATAGTCTCATGTCTATTTAGTTGAATGTCACAACCACTAGTTGCTGCTTAGGCTAGGAAAAAGCTGAATTTTTAGCAGGGGATTGATGAAAAATCACATCAGTGGCCAGTGTCAGGACTTGGTCGTAAATGGTATTGATGCATAGGAAAAGTTACTTTTTGCATGATGTTCCAATGTTGTACAATAATTGCAAATCTTCTGGTTATTAGCTACTTCCTGATAACAAAATCTAGGGTGTTTTTTTTTTTTTTTTTGTAACAAAGAAACAACTTTATCCATACCTGTGTGATTTTACTGGGCAAGAAGTAGATTTTTGTCTTCTATTTTCATTCTATCTTCTTGTTTCAGTTGATATTTGATATTTGCCTTAATTTCATCTTATACATTTGTTTCTGATATCTTACATGTTTCCTCATAGGTTATATTAGCACAGCAATTAATGGTGGTCCTGGATGTTTGATATTGCGATGCCCTGACCCATCCTGCAGTGCTTCTGTTGGTCAAGATATGATTCATGTCTTGGCTTCTGATGAAGACAGAAAGAACTATTCTCGCTACTTCATTAGATCTTATGTTGAGGACAATAGGAAGGTAATTAGTAAGACTATTAGAAACTTGAGAATTTGATTGGTCAACTGCACCTGTTAATTTGAACATTCCACCCCCCTCTCCCTCCCCATCCATTTCCCAAGAGTATTTTTACCCCTAAAACTTACAGCCTTTGGTCACTTAAACTTGAGGATTGAGCTGCTATCACTTTAGGGATTGTATGTTTAGTGTTAGTGGATTTCATGACCTTTCAATATGTTATATTTGTTTAGAATTCCAGCAACTCAGGGTCTTGGTTTAACATGCTGTTGCCTGATTATTGCCACCATATGATTGGATCTTCAAGGGGTGAATAATAAACACTCTTACTTCTTTCCTGCATGAATACTGTTAGCTGTCCTAAAATAAATTTATTTGTGGCCTTCTGTATCATTGAGTTTTTTCATATTCTTTTAATTGTTTTGTTTTCCATGTACTTTTTCTTTTGTACCGGCCTTATTTTTTTAATGCAGCTATAAGTACTTCATTTCTCTATTTTTAAAGTTTTTACATCTTCAGTTGGACTATGTCTTCAATATATTTTATACTTTTCCCATCTCTATCTTCTGTAGA